TAAAAATATAATATCAATCAATAAACTTCATTTTATTATTGATTTCAATCTGGTTATGGATCATTTTATTTCATAGACTTTTCTTCCTCTTAATAATTTTATTCCTTGTCTTCTTCAACTCTTTGTTAATTATGATAATTAGACTCCTCTGAATTATTAGTATTATCATTATTTTCTTAAGTAAATTATATATCTTGATTTTCATCATCAATATCATCTATATAAAATTTTTGACGAGAACAAACATATGTTAATAGTTCAATTTAAAAAAAGATATCTAAATGTATTTTAGTGATATTATTATTTATTTATATAACACCTAAAGGATTATTTAAATAATTTCTATTAGGACTGAAATTTAAACTTTTTAAACCCTCTTTAGATATTTAACTCTATTTATAATATAAGATAATAATACTAATTTTATCATTATTTAAATTTGTTCTTCAGTGTCTTTACTAGGTTAAAATTCATTCATATTGTAAATATATTTATAAGCTAATTTTAAGAAGTTCTAATTATAAATTTATTTTTCATCAATAATTTATAGTTCCCTTTTTATTATAAATAAAATTTATACTTTTTTCTTTTTTTTAATATTTCATCTTAAATTGATATTGTTTATACCATCCAACCATGAAAATATAAAGCTTAAAGTAAAAATGTAAGTAATTAATTTAAGTTTACTTCAGGATGAATTATACCTACAATATTAAATTCAGGTGCTGATAATGCCGATTATTAAAGTTGTTTCATTTATTTATAACTTAAAGGTAGAAATTATAAGTTTAAGTAATCAAGAATTTATTATTTTATATCTTTTGCTAATTCTGTAATACTAAATTAACCATTAATTTCAAAACTATGACTAATCGTTTATTATTTATTAAATAATCTAAGCATCATAATAAGTGGTCTATAAATTTCAATATCATTTAAACCAGCTTCTATTTATTGATGTAAATCATCCCAATTTATAAAGTTCATTATCATATCAATACAAGTTCGTAATTTCTATTTAAGTGTTCCTGCTGCAATCTAAAAATTCTTTAAAGTTTCATATTAGTGAGCTAAATCTTTTGCTATTTCATACTCTATAATTTCTTTCTTATAAGGAATATACCAATATTTTTCAACCCTATTAATAAATTAGAATCATATTACATTGTTTTAAAATATCTACAAACTATTCTCAATTTAAATATATCTATAATACCTAAAAATGATAGTATATTGCTCTAAAATATATAAGATGGAATAGTGCTCATTAATGAATCTTCATTCAAAAGAGGAATTTATTCTCTTTCATTAGATTTAATCTCAATATTTATATTCCTTGGTAGTTAAAAATGCACACTTTAAGCTTCAATATCATATTTAAAACATTAATTAAAGTACAAATAAGGAAATGCAAATATTTTATAAATTTCAAAGAAAACTTACTATTATATAATAATTAAATAAAATTTACATTTTCATCACTTTTAAATTCGTGTTATTTTGCTATATTCATTTGCTAATTCAAAACCTAAATAGGTTTAACTTTGAAATTATTGAAAATACCTAACCATTTTAAAGTTTCTTATGAATCATTTAAATTATTTAACTATTCTAATTCTTTAGAATTTAAATTCTATTTTATTTCATCAAAATAAACTTCTTTACTTATGTCTTTTGATATATATAAACTTCTATTTGGACTTTTTACTATTTTCATTATTTAATATAATTTCGAACTCTTTACTTTATCATCCCAGTCATGAATAAGGTTTGGGATTGCATCTAATTAAGACACATATAATTATTTTCTATTATTATAATTTTTCTGTATTATTTAATGTAATTATTCAAAAGTTGTAACATCTTCATAATCATCTAAAAATTTTTATTAGAATTTATTGCAAGTTTTTTCTAAAAATTATCTATGAATGAATCTATCATTTGGAGTTTCTTCAATAACACTAATTAGACCTTTTATTTGGTTTTTTTAAGATAATTAAAACTCTGAATATGGGACATTACGCCAAAAATAATTTTATTGTTAATTTTAGTTGTGCTATATATCCTGATTTTCATTTTGAATCTATTCTGCATCTTAAGAATTATTTTATTATTGTTATGGATTAGGTTCTTAATTATCTTGACCATTGTTCTATTAAAACATATAAAAAAATTAATAAAAAATAAATATTGTTTTTTTCATTATAGTAATTTAATAGTTAAATGTTTGATAATAATGATGTTTTGTTATTATTCTTATTTCATTCTAGAGGTTATGAATTTTCAAATCAAAATACTTTTTTAATTCTTAATTAAATATGTAATTTTTCTTTGCATTTTCTACAAAAACAAAATCTTTCTGAAATTAACACAATCTTTTTAATTCAGAAGATATTTTTTATGTTTTCTTGCCATTTAAAGAATAATGAATATTTTTATTAAAATTCTTTAAATAGTTCTCTTTTATTATTTAGAAATGATGCTCCATTAAAATATTATTTATTTAAAAAGAAATTACCATATAAGAGCTTTTAAATTATTACCAATTTTTGATATTATTGTTTTTTTATTTATTGTGATAGTTCTCAATCAATTCCAGCTAATTATTCTTTTAGATATTTTGAATTCTAACCTTGTAAAAAAAAATTGTAATCAACATTTATTTTTATTCTCTAATATCTTTTTTTATATTCTAATTTTTAATATTTATAAAATCTATTATAATTTGAAATTACAAAATTGTTTAATAGCAAAAATTTCATCTTAAAATATAGTTCTCTTCATTTCTGTAAAAAGTCTATAGCTTTATTACTCTTTCGGTATTCGACTGAATAAAATTAGATGTTTTGATTCAATAAAAGTATTATGAATTCTAATACAAATGAATTCCATTATATAAGAATTTTATCTTTTTATCAAAGACTAATTAACTATTCTCTTACATATTTTTTACTTAGTTGTTTACTTTATTATAAAATAAGACTTATATAATATATCAATTAATTTTAATCACATTTACACAATCATCACTTGAACAGGTAGCAATATACTTAGAATTCATAACTAATCCTTCAATTCCACCCATATGTGTCTTTTATGCAACAATGAAATCTCCCTTCTCTTAATCATATAAGAAAAAATATCCATTTTGACATCCAATTGCAATTAGATTTTAATATACACTCATATATGTTAATGTAAACCATTCATTAATAAAAAAGGTATTGATAACTTTAATTAGACTATATTATTAATCATATAATCTTATTGTTCTATCATCACTACAAGAATATAATATTAATTTATTTTATGAGTGTTTCCAATCTAAACATGTTACTGCTAATTTATGTCCAGTCAATTCAACAATATGTTTTTAATTATAATCAAAGACTTTTACACATTAATCTTCAGAACCAGTTGCAAAAATATCTTATTCAGGATTAAATATACAAGTCCAAATATCTGCATGTATATTAAGAGATCCAAATAATTCTGATTTCTCTTTTGGAGGATGTGCTAAAAATGTGAATAATTATTTCTCATTTTTATACAATCTAACTAAACCATGAGTAGTTGAAATAAGTAAATCATTATTTTTAACTCTTATACAAGTAATTGAACCTTCAATTTAATCAAATTGTTAACATTATTCATTTTCATATTTATACAATTATCCTTCCATTGTTCCAATATAAATAATATCATCTTTACATGCAATAGAACGAATTGATGATCCTATAAAATATTCTCCAATTTATTTTCCTGTATCCAAAGAATTAATTGTTATATTTCCCAAGAAGTCTCCACTTACAACATAATCATTTTAATAGAAATCTATACCACATTTTGTCAATCCTCCAAATTCTTTATGTAATACATGAACTGCTTTATATATTGTTACATTTTCTTCAGATGCAGTTACTAATACATCTCCTTTTTTATAAATAGCCTATACTAAAGTATTTAATCCTTGCTTATATTATTATACAACCTTTTCCAATGTTTATAAATTAAAGATTGTGATTTCTTTATTCTTATTCTAAAATACTAATTCATAATCATTTTAAAAACAGGCTGCTTATATAACTCCATTTCCTTCTACTTTATGAATATTAATTGAATGTTTTTCAATGTCATATATTAGTATTCTTCTGTCATAATAAAAATATGCAATGTATTTAGGACTTTAAGCAATCACTAAAATATCTCCTGGTTCAGTTTCAAATGGTAATACTTTTTCTAAACCCTATTGATTGTGTACTTCAAGTGAAAATAGAAATTGTTTGTTATTCTTATATTTTTTTAAATCTTTGTAATTTAATTTACCTTTATCATCTTTACTTAATTTGCCATGTCTTTTGGATTTTAATAAATAAAACATTTAATTCTAAACACAACCATAAAAATAGCAACCATCAAAACATTTTATCTATTCAAGTGTAGTTGCATTTAAGACTTGTATAATTCCTTTATTTTTTGAGTGTTCAGCACTTATCAATAAAATATTTCCTTCAATAGATGACCATCTACATTATGACCCAATTTGACTAAGATATATATTGATTTATATATTACTGATTTATATAATTAACTTTTTTATAAGTATTGATATCCAATTAACAAATATCTCCATCATGTCCAATTGAATATATGAAATTATCATTATGAATTAAACTATAGATTGTACTTTAATTTGTTTAAAATTATGTAATTTTATTAAAGGTTCTATTAATTAGACTATAATATTTACATATCATCATAAATAGCAATTGATGTGGCAATTGGTAAAATTATGTTATTGTTTAGATAAAGAATGGATTTGAATCTGCAAGTTGCTGTGCCAATAGAGAGAATATTCAAAGGTTAACTTTGATGATTATAGATGTATTCTGGTTTTTACATTCTAATAGTATTATTTTGTATTTAAAAACACAAAATAATAAAATATTTATATAAAGACACAATCAGAATTAATCAAAATTCCTATTCTAATTACAAACTCATTGCAAACTAATTAATTTAGCAAACTGTGTTGCTAAATGATTGTCATCCAAGAATATCTAATTAAAATTTTTGGCATTAAATCCATCTTAATATAAATTTTATATATCTTGGCATCCTTTTTCTGACATCACAACTACATTAATTTTCATATTATAAGATGGATTGACTAAATTATTGAAGCTCAGATGTAATAGAAATTACTGAATTTAAGAATAGAGATCATCTTCATTATTAGCAATAAGATTAGACTTATTTTCTTTATGTGATATATCCCAACTCTAATCTATATAAGCTAATAGATGTTGTAATTAGAGGAAACTTAAATTTAATGTATCATATAATGGGAATTCCAATGTTTACATTAAAATAACTGTAATATTTGTTTCAATAGATGCAGGCATTTTCTTAACTCTATAATTATAATTAAAATTCTATACATATAGGTTGATAAACGATGTGCAAAGAAAAGCATTTCCCCTAAACCTATAATATTGACTGTTTTTGTATCTTCTGAAAAATATGGTGTAATAAATTCATGTACTCTTTCTATAAATCTAAATTCTTCATCTATTGAATCTGACAATTCTTAGACCTATAAAACTTCAGTATAAGGAGTTGAAAACACAATTAATGTTGCATTCAATTATTAGGCCATTTCTGGCAATTTCACATGATCATAAAAAAAATTAAAAGATTAACCAAGTGGAGGGAATAATATATATAGATTTTGATAAAGATGAGTATGAATTTCAACTTAAAATAATTGATTTACTCTTAATTCTGTTCCCAAATCCACTATTGAATAATTATATAAATTGACTAAATCTGATGTAGTATTTATGCAAATATTGTCTATAGATATACAATCTTCAACACAATAATTTGATTTCAATTTATATGGATGAACACATTAAACACATCTCTATGTATACTCATGATAACAATATTCACAATTTTATGAACATTCTAAACAACTAAATTTACTAGTATCGAAAGATGTATTAAGAGGACATAAAAGTTATGAACGATCATTAGGATTATGAAATGGTAAAATTATTTGTTTTTAATCTACTCTTGATTTCTTAGATAACCAACCCATGAAAATCAAAGAAGATATTGCTGTAAGTAGAGCAAAAACGCCTAAATTTAACAAAACCTTCTTGTTCTATTCTTTATGTTGTTATCTATCTTCTATATGATTAATTATAGGTCTTCGCTCAGTATTTGTATTAAAGTATTCTTCCTCTTCTTCTTCTGACATTGTTAATTAATATATTTTGTTTTAATAAGTATGTAATTTTCAATTGTAAATATAATTAAAAAATGTCAATATAAAGAGAATGGCAGAAATTTGTTAGACCACCTCGATATAATTATAGTTACTTTGATCTAGGTTATTTAATTTTTATTAACATGTTAGGTCCTGAATACATTTAACTACATCAAGGTTATCTACGGAAACATGAAAAGATTATTACTAATCGTTAAAATTGCAAATTATAAATGTCATACTTTGAATTGAATCCAAAAACTTCTAATTGTATTGTTTATTGTCATGGCTATAATGGATGTAGAATAGAAGGCATTAAATATGCTTCAATTGTAGCATAATTTGGCTTTAACTTTTGTACATTTGATTTCTAAGCATGTGGTCATTCTGAAGGAGATTTCATCACTTTTGGGTATGATTTATTATTAAACTAATAGACATCTTGAGAAGGATGATATAACATCTATATTACATGAATTAGAAATCCAATTTCAATAAAAATAATTCATTTTATGGGGAAGATCTTTAGGTGCCACTACCATTCAATTAAAAGAATAACCTAATGTTAAAGGATTGGTATTGGATAGTTGTTTCACTAATTTCAATAAATTAGCAATTAGTATAATTTAAAAATAAACTCGATTGCCTAAATTCATAATCAAGGCAATCATCTACTTAACTAAAGGATCAATTGAAGAAGAAGCAGGATTTCAATTTAATGATATCCAAGTTTAATGTAATTCAAATATGCCTACTCTCTACATTTGTAGTGATAAAGATTCGCTTATAAAGGCTAAAAATAGTTTAAAATTGTATAAGTAACACAAAGGAATTAAGAAATTGATCAAAGTAGATGGAGAACATAATGATTCTCGACCTCTAGAAATCATTTAATAAATTTGTTCATGGTGTAAAGACAGAGTGCAAATACAATAAAACAATTATATATAATACAATTCAGTCCCTCAAGTGGCTAGATTACCATTAGAATTAATCTATGATTCTAATATTTAGAGTGGGATGTAATCTTCATACAATAGGATTCCAAAGAATCCTGCCATCAAATTAAAAAATTAAATAAGTATATAGTTAAGAACAAGCTGTAGAAATTTACATAGTGCAGTATAATACTGAATATATATATATATTAAAACTTATATATATATATATTTTATTTAAAAAAAATGTAATTTATAAATGAAGGAGTTGAATGGTTTGAAATCCATTCTACAATCTGGGCTAATGATGTAGCATGTATAATAAATGCTTAAAATAAGTGTTGAAAGACAATTATATTATGGGCTTTAAGGGAAAGCATAGACGTATAGCTTTAGGCAGTTCAATTGGGTTGTTGATGCTCACTCAATTAGCTTAACGAAATCCTATAGGAGCTTTACGTGTAGGTGCTTTTGCATTTCCTGTACTCAGCTATGTGATATGCCCTGAGATATACAATTCCTTATTATGATATACGTGTAAAATAATTAAAATGTTCATAAAATTCGAGAGACATTCAGATCGTGTCAAGAGTGTTTCATTTCATCCTCATCGTCCTTGGGTATTAAGTGCACTTCATTCGGGAATCATTGAAATGATAGATTATAGAATAAAGAAAAGAATTGCAATATATGATGATCATAAGGGTGCTGTTCGATCAGTTCAATTTCATCCGCAACTTAATTTATTTTGTTCAGGAGGAGATGATTTTACAGTTAGAGTTTGGAATTTTAAATAATGCTAATTTATATTAAAAGGGCATTTAGATTATGTTAGATGTGTTACATTTCATCCAATAAATCCGTGGGTATTATCTGGTTCAGATGATCAAACTGCAAGAGTATGGAATTATCAAAGTAGATAAACGATAGCAATTTTGACAGGACATACACATTACATTATGGCTTGTCATTTTCATCCTACTTAAGATATAATTATCACATGCTCTTTAGATTAAACTGCTAGATTATGGAATTATGGAGTACTCAAATAAAGATATGCCTAAAAAAAGAATTAAGAGTATGTACTATCAGGAGCAGAAGTACAAGTTATTTCAATTTTGGATGCACATAAAGATTAAATCAATTGGTGTGCCTTTCACAAAACAGAACCATTCATAATTACTAGTGCTGATGATAAATCAATAAAATTATGGAAGTATAATGATAATAAAGCTTGGGAATTTGATACTTTATCAGGTCATACAAATAATGTTTGTTGTTCAGAATTTCATTCAAAAGGAGATGTGATTATTTCAGATTCTGAAGATCATACAGTTAGAATTTGGGATTTTGCTTCTCGTAAATAAATTGGAATTTATGAAAACAATCATTTTGATCGTTATTGGATAGTTACATGTCATTAAAATAATTACTACTTTGCATGTGGTTCAGATACTATGTTATAAGTGTTCACACTTCATAAAGATAGAGTGCCTTTTATATTAGTTAATGATAGATATCTTTGTATGGCTGAATAAAAGACTCTCAAAGTTGTTGAAGTGATTAGTGGTTAACAACAAATCATAAGAGACATATCCACTGTCATTACTCCTACACCTACTCTTTTAGAGGACAATATTGAATTTATTGAGTACAATACATATGACACATAGAAAACATAATTGATGATAAGATGTATCAGATCATTCAAGGAACCAACTAAACCTAAGAGACACTTATTATTGGTATTTCAACCATAAAAAGGAGATTCTGGAGTTAAATAATTCTTTGCTTTTTGTGCATGTTTTATTGGTAAAAGCAAAATTGCAAGAATTAATTAGGATTAATAAATAGAATTATACAATTATGAAACAGAAGTTGTTCAATTAATTGATGAAAAATAATCATCTAAAATATTTCCTGCTCCTGGTGGTAAAATATTAATTCAAAGAATTGGAACTATTCCTTAATTAGAATTATTTGATCCTCTAACTAAATCAAGTTTACATTCAGTTGAGTATACTAATGCCAAATATATACATTATGCTGAATCTTACTTAATTGTTTAAACTAAATTGTCTCTAAAAATCTTTACTAAACAACTATAGAAATTAATTGAAATCAAAGAATAAATTAATATTAAATCCTTTATTTGGATTAATAATTTTATAATATATACTACAAAAAGTCAAATTAAATATTTATTATTAAATGGAGACACAGGTGTATTAAAATCTACTGAAAATATTTTATATTTAGTTAAAGGTGAAGATTAATAATAAAGTAAACTTAAATTAATAGCACTCGATAACACAGCCAAATATTTAACAGAAATCTTAGATATCTCAGAACCTTTATTCAAGATAGCCATTATGAACAAGGACTTAAATTCTATATATAAATTTGTTGAAAATAATCAAAATGAAGCCATTCTTTCTTATTTATATTAAAAAAGACTAGCATCTGTTGCATTAAAATTAGTTAAAGATAAATAAGGTAATTGATTTTTTATCATTTTAGCTAAATTTTCACTTTCTCTAGATAGTGGTAATTTGGATTATGCATATAAAGCTGCAATAGAAATCAAAGAACCATAATTATTTGAATAATTAAGAACTGAAGCCTTAAGATAGGGTAATCATTTATTAGTGGATATTTGTGATTAACAATTAAGTTAATTTGATAGATTGTCATTTTTATATTTATGCACTGGAAATAAAGATAAGTAAGAGAAATTACAGAACATAAATCCTAATTTTATATATCTATCATAAATTTAACGGAAAACTGCAATTAAGAATTCAATACCCAAATTATATTAAATAATAGATTATCTTAATGGAACACCATAAAAATTAGATGAAAATTAAAAAGAAACAATAGAATGGATCAAATCATTAGGGGGTAGTTAGGCTATGATTCCTCCAGTACCCATAATGAAATATAAAAGTGATCCATGGCCACTTTTATAAATGAATGAATAAGATATTATCAATCTTGAAATAACAGATGAAGCTGTTGTACCATAAGATATCTTTACATTCTAAAAGTAAGTGATACAAGAACCAAATGTTGATGAGTAATATAATGATACACAATGGCGTTTAGATGAAGAAGAGCCAATAGAAGAATTTTAGGAATAAAAATTAAGAGATTCTGTTAATAATAACATTGATGAATAGGCATTAAGAGGTAACTTCATTTTTTAGAATGGAGAAGTAGCAATAAAATATTTTGCTGCTGGAGATTATGAAACTGGTATAAAGTTACTTAAACAATAAATAAATCTTATTAATTATCAACCACTATTCAAACTACTTGTTGATTTACCTAATTTTTAAATGTTAACTTTTTCTCCATATCTTAGTAATGCAACATTGCCAGTTAAAATCAATAGATTAAATGAAGTCAAGAATTTAATTAAATTAGGTATCTTTATTTTCTAATCATAGGTTATAAGTATACAACAGATGCAAAATTTAATGAAGTTAGTAATTGTTTTTAATAAGTATTATAAAAATTACTAGTGACAGATTTTGAAGAGAATTAAATTGATGAAATAAAAAGATATATTAATATAAGTAGAAATTATTTAATTGCTATGCGTTGTGATTAACTTAAAAAAGATGGTAATGCCTTGGAAGTGACTTGCAAAATGGCTACCATAGATTTATAACCTGGACATCGAATATTAACATTGAGACAGGCACTTAGTATTAGTTATAAATAGAAGAATTTTATCACTTGTTAAATAATAGCAAAAAAATTAATTGAATTACTTAAAAATGATAATAATCAAAAACCTGAAGTATTATAAAATGCATAGAAAGTATAATGATAGAAATAAAATTTTTAGTATGAAAAAGCTTCTCAATAATAGAATACAAATGCTATTTAAATAGAGTTCTAAGAATAATGGTTGAATGAATAACCAATATACTCAGCTAACACACTTAAAAATATTTCAATTTTCAAATCTTGTCCATATGATGGCAGTGTTTATGAAATAGATTATTAATAAACTTGTTTAATTTGTGGATTATGTTAAGTAGG